GCACTACTGCCGTGCCCTGGGAATATATATTTAGCCTCCTGCATTTCTTTCTCCTTTCCCAGTTGTCCTCCTCCCCATTTCCCCTGTTAACAAGTGAAGAGGTTGCTTAATGCATGATCTGTTTTCCTTTTCCTCTCTCTTTCTCTCTCTAGTTAATTGTCCATTATTATACTTCAAGTGTGCTCTGTAAAAATGAGCATGAATTCAACTTGCTTTGATCCACATTTCTCAGAAAAAAACATAATCTGTATTGAAAATGCTACAAGTGGCATTTAATTCACAAACCAACATCAGAGTGACCAGCTGCGTGTGTGTGTGTGTGTGTGTGTGTGTGTGTGTGTGTGTGTGTGTGTGTGTGTGTGTGTGTGTGTGTGTGTGTGTGTGTGTGTGTGTGGGAGGGCTCCATACCTGAAGTCACTGTAGGGGTGGATGATCCACGCTCCTGCTGATTTCAGTCTTTCCTGCTCCTGTTCCACAGCTTTGTGCGATCCAAACATGCGCAGACTGAACTTGTTGACCCCAGGCTGAAGCATGGCTCCAAACTGTCTCTGGATGAAGGTGCTCTGGTTGGAGTTGCTGTAGTCTTCCCCGTCCAATCCCATGCCAAACCCACCCAGGCTAGACTGACCCAGCATCTCAGGGGTTCCTGCTGCATTGGTGTTGCATGCTGTGGTTGTGGTGGTCTCTGCACCGGTGGCCACCACCATGACTCCGGTCCCAGTGGAGGACGTAGAGGCCAGGGCTGCACGGGAGGCGAAGCCTACTGATCGCGGAGGAGGATGGGCTGTGCCAGAAGAGGAGGACGGAGGAGGCGGCAAGGGAATCGGGGTAGTTGGAGTGCCTGCTGTACGGAAGGGCAGGCCGTCCCTGGTGGAGGCGCTCATGATGGAGAGGCGACGCCCGCGTCCACCGGAGGATGTGCTATCTGCCCCAAAGGAACCCCTTTCTCCCTCCAGCGAGGCCTGGGACAGCCTGTAGCCGGGAGAGGGCAAACTGCCCTTACTGCGCCTCTTCGAGTCCCCTCCGTTACGCCTGGGCAGGCTGTCACCCCCGGACCCCCCGGCGCTACTAGGGGTACCCACACCTCCAGCCACCCCATCCATCCCAACTCAGGGAAGGGGAGGAGTGTGAGGGGAGGATCAATATAACCTGTGACCCCCACCCCTCAGAATAACTATTCAGTACTGTCGGCCTGTCTAGGTTACATAGATGAGAAAGTCAATGACGCTCTGAATGTTAAATTGAAGAAGCGACAGAAAAGTGCAGCGTGTCTCCAGTCATTCTCCCGGAGTCTTCCGCCCTCTTTCCGCGGATGTGGCCATTCTTACCTCAGTGCCCTTGGAAAAAGCCCCATCCAGACAAAAATATTCCCCCCCTATCACTGTGACGCCTGCAGCTTCACTTTTCCTCTTTTCTTAAAGAGTCTTGTTTGTCCTTACAGATGTTTCTCTGCCAGTCCTCCTTCCTCGTCCTTGAAACGCTGCTCTCCGCCCGAGGCCCTCCCTCTCCGCTCCACAGTCGCCCTTAACGCTCCGACACCGGTCATATTGGCACCGGATTCCCGGTCTATTGTAGATAAGAGCGCTCGACGCTCATTGGCCGTCCGTGTAGCCTATATGTCCAGGCTGCCTTCCCAGTCTTTGCCCCTTTCATCATATATCATTATGTAAGAGATGTTTTGGGCGCTAAGGTGTCAGACTGGGGAACATTCATCCGAGGATGAAAGACAAGGACACTCGATACTCTGTTAGGAGGGATGGGTTGTTAACGGACAGAAAGGACGCACGAAAAAAGGCACAAACGAGCGCTCATTCCGAGACGCACTGATTCATAAGGACACGCACTCGACCAGCAACCAGGCACATGCACACAGGAAAAACGGGAACAAATACGGCTGGGAAAGAAGTCAGAATACCCCAGGTCTAGCCCATGTTTTCACTGAGTCCGCCACACGTTGTCATTTTCAGTATCCGTGCGGGAAAAAACACCTTCACCATGACGGAAAACCCATCTACCCGCGACTGAAGCGCAGTCAGACACACAGACAGATTTCCTCCTTTACAAAAAAAGCTATTTTATAAAAAATAAAAATAAAAAAACCTGATACCGCAATTAACTTGATGAGGTTCTCACAGCCTGACGCACCACATTCCATGTTTCCTCACATGCAGGCGCTGCCATGCACTTCACTTCACTTTTCAATGACACTGTGTCCAGTCTACAGGGATACGGCGGAGTCCCTTCCCCTCTTATGGCACCAACGGCAGATTACAGACTGTACATTTAAATGAAGAAAGCTGCTCCGAGGTAAAACTGTGCGCTCCCATGAATTTCAAACCTTCCTTAAATAAAAATAAAAAAAGCAACTTGTTGATCCTTGGTCCTCAGGAAATTGTGCAGAGCAGATGGAGTCCAGTTTACGGCTCAATTTACTTCCTTTTCTGACTCAACACTCAGAGGTCGGTCTGACACGTCCGCAGAAGCGCGCCGCCAGCGCGTGCAAATGAAATATTAAATAAATAAATGTCCATATAATAGTCGGAATCTAATCAGCTTGTTGCCATGGCATCCGCATCCCCATCATCCTTCCCCCAAGGCCGCATGCCCAACCGGCGCAAGACGCACGCATCCCTCGCAGGTACAGGATGCGCGTCATCCCTTCTCACCAATGCGGCGAGGGAGCGCGTGATGGAAAGAGGGATGATGAAACTTTATTTAAATAGCAAAAAGGGGCAAGCCTTTTTTGTACCAACAATGGGGAGGACTTATAAAGGAAATAAAAGAAAAATGAATGAAGTCCTCAAAGAACGCTGTGATCCAAACAACGTGAAGCAGATACACCTTTTAGAAATGAAATAATAAATATTAATTCAATCTGCAGTTAAACTCCAGAGCTTGAGTTCGTCTAGAGAGATATGAAGGCTGATACATCATGAAATAGATCACAGGGTAGTTTACTGTAATATACTTTTCCCCCTTTAAGTATTTTAAATGTATTTCAGTACTCGACTACATTTTTCACAGCAAGATTTACTTTTATTCGTCAGCTGTTTATTGGTTATCCTTCTTAAGTAAGAGACTTTATAGTCGATCTGTCAGTATTCTAAGGTCAAGAAATATTGTGAATGCAGGGATTTTAAATGTAACAGAGTAGTTTATTTTTTATGTGTTGTTACGAATTGTGAACACATCTACATCTAAAAAAGTATGTTCAGCTTAAGAACAGCTGTGAAGTACTTATGTAAACATCTAAAACTACAACATTTTTGAGGGAAAAATTACATTTGACAGCTATTTACTACTTAGTATAAAAAGGGCGCCTATTATGTTCATTTACAATTGCTGTGATGGCTATTTTTATTCTTGGATTAACGAGTGGGAGGCTAAATACTCTGTACAGCAGATGAATAGTATCTGAAAGCCATGTCCTTAAGAAACAGGGGGGGAAATCCAGCAACGTCCCAATCTGCTAGGCCTTCAGTCAATCCATCTGCTGTTCACTGAAGTCTCATCAGAAAAGCTCTCAGTGCAAGGGTGGGTGTCAAGAAGCCATTCTTATTGAAGGGAAACAGGGAGAAAGGCTGTGGTGTGTCAAATTACACAAAAAGTGGACCGAAAATTAATGTCAGCAGGTATTGAATTGATGAATGGAATTGATGAATCACAATTTCAATATGTGGTTCTGATCATCACCACCATTATCAAAACTGATGGAATTATAGATGGAGAAAAGTACCATCACATATTGATCCACCATTCAATAACATCTGGAAAGAGTCTGATTGGAAGCGGCTTCAATATTTGGCATGACAATGATCCCAAACACACTGCCAATGTAGTAAAAGCACACATGACATCAGTTGTGGATCGGCCTCCCCAGACCCCGGACCTCACCATTAATTAAACCAGCGTGGGATCAGCTTGACAGAGAACAGAACAAAAGGCAGCCAACATCCAAAGAAGAGCTTTGAATGATCTTCAAGAAGCCTGGAGAAATATTCCTGAAGACTACTAAAATTGCAAGAAAGCTGCCTGAGAGAGTTCAGGCTTTGTTAAAGAATAAATTCGTTCAAACCAAATATTGAATATTTCAAGCTTGTTAGTATTATACAGATTCTTCTTTCCTTTATGTATTTTAAATCCATTGTTTGCACATTTTAATAAATAAATTATGTTAATAAATCTCTACACCTATTTCCCATTTCCGTAGCAAAATATAAAGAAGTGACATGTGGCTTTTGCACAATACTTTAAGAGGTCAAATTGGTGGTTTAAAAGATTAAATATAAATTTATCTGATATCTATACTTTTATTTCAGTTTTCTTTTGTTGTGGTATTGCTACTTTTACTTCAGCAGTTGACTTGAATAGATCTACATGTAGAATAAGTGAAAAACCTCACATCTTATTCCCGCAGGCTTATGGAAAACAGACTTTTGCAAATATAGACATAAAACTCTGTAAGTGCTCCAATTGTCCCAGAAAGATAAAACGCTATTAGACTAACCACAGAAATATTTACAGTGAGTCAGCCTCTGTAAAAGTGGCTATTAGTGGTAGAAAGAGAGAGAGAGAAAAATAACTGCTGCGGGAGGATTCAATGCACATTAAAGCTCAAAAGGAAAAAAGGAGGAAGCAAGGATGTCACAAAATAAAGGATTATGAGACATGAGGAAGACCCACACAGGAACAGATATAATTACTTTCTGGGTGAGCAATATGCAGATGTGGCCATCTGGGTCATCTCAGTTGACAAAGGGGGTGTCAGCTCTGCATCATCAGCTGCTGCTCATAATAGCCAAAAAATTGCCGCTGCACAGAGATAAGCTTGGGACTCTGGGTAGGAATGAAAGTCTTATCTCCAAATCCTATAAAGAGCACCAATGTACTTCAACAATGGCAGCCACAGAGACAATACTTTCACTTTCAATATGAAAACAGGAGGCAGGACAGTTCAATTACAGAAGCCTGTGTCCTGACAAGAACTGGAGAACAACGTATTAAAGTTAAAGTCAAGTTTTATTTGAAGGGAGTCATGGGTACATTCATATGAGCGGTTATTAGACCAGGTGTTTCCGCATAATAACCTCAAATTTTAAGTAGAGTGTTTCTGCTGCTTTCGACAGAGGTTATTGCTTCGATTTTAGGGGTGGTTCTTTGGCTTTTTGGTGCATTAAAAGATTTTAAAGGCTCTCTTAATGAACCTCCAGCAACTCTGTTAGATTTAGAGTCCAGTGAGGTCATGTTGTTACGGGACATTCACTGCCCTCATAATGTTGGTGTGACCAGACCCTGGGATCCAGCCTGTCATCACAATCACCATGTCGCCGGACTTGAAGAACCCTCTTGTTTTCCCTGTGGTGTTGGAGAGATAAGGGCATGTGAGTAATATGGCTTATATTATATAAGAACTACAAGCGGGCTGAACAGAGCACAGACTGACCAATTTCCATGCCAAAGTTGACCCTGTTGTCCACATCGTCAGCCCACACAGGAGCGGGCAGAGGGTGGAAGAGGGCAGGAAACACGCCTCGTAACAACTGAGACTGACGGGTGACCTGACAAAGAGAAAAAAAAGATTAGGTACATTATAAAATAACTGCAAGTTGCTTGGTGGTTATTGATTTTTATAGTCTGTCAGTCTGTTGATCCCCCGATATATTTACCAGTAAAAACAGGAATGCAAACAGACAATGTGACAAAGAGGAGTGTATAAATATACAATGAAGGCTAACTGGGAGACTGGGAACAAGAGAGGAAGAAAACAATCATACAGACAGGAAGTAAAACAGAAAACAACACAGCAAAGAAAAAAAACTATCAAAATCAAACAAACTAATAAAATACACATATGGAGCCCGGAAGGCTCATGTTAGACATACTGTGGTCTTTTCTAAAGTTAGCTATACATCAAAATAAGATTCCTGCAGGTAGTAAATATCTGTTACGATTACTGTTGAGCAATTAAATGCATTATAATTAGATGGTGGAAATCCAAGCCTCCAACATCGCACGTGTGGTTGAATAGGATTTGGAAATCTGTCTGATTGAACAAATAACTTCAGAAAGACGTATTTATCAGGAGATGGAGACCTATTTTTACATTTAAAGAAGGAAGAGAGAGGACTATGAAAGTATGTCAGAATGAGGCAATTTTGTTTAAAATATGGTCATTGTTATATTCATTTATTTGTGTATCCTTTTATTTTTCTTTTCTTTTAATTAATATTACTGAGAAAAATGAAACATGCCAATTTTGTACTCTGTCACCACAATTTTATTGATACTAAAAGATGACCTGTGATTGATCAAAAGTGTGGACGTCATAATAATGAAGGTCAGGGGGAGCTGCCTTCATTTCAGTGACCAGCCATAGTGTGGGGTTATTACAGAGCATTCACGTGTGCTCCATCAAATTTGACCCTGATTATTGCTTTGACATTATTGGAAACCATGATTCTTTTTTTAAAGACCGTGCAACCCACTTTGATCACCGGTCTTAGAACAAGAAAGTTCAATAAAACAGAAATACAGTCGGTAATAAATACTCCAGATTGGTGATACCAGTCTGACAACACTGTCACAATTTACCACGACAGACAGCAAAAGTGGACATCGCACACTAATCACTTTTGAAAACAGCGAGATATCATCATCTAAGCCAGACCTTCCCAAAGTGTGGGGCCCGACCCCTAGGGGGGGGGCGCAGAGCCATTGCAGGGGGGGCGCGGCATGAAAAGGGGAAAAAAACCAAAAAAAACAACAACCATGGGGCTCCCACACAAGCGCAAAGCAGGAGATGAAGCATCGCTGAATATGTTTTCAAACCAACTTCATTCTAAGCCAAAGACTAGAAAATATGGTGAAGCCTATCTTCTCTTTGGTTTCACCTGCACAAGTGCTGAGGTAGGTCTCCCCTGCAGAATTGGTCTTTCCTGTGTCGGGAGCACCGCTGGGCTCTCCAAATCACAGACAAACAGTATCCCACATTCTTGATTTTTAGTTCACAAACACTTGTTGTAATGACTAACTACTCCTGACATTTCGGAGATGTTAGCTCTTTATACAGTAAAGTTACAGTGGGATACAAATAACATCAGGCTGATCCTCCCACGATTTGTTCCCCCGGTTCAAATCACGGACTAACAGCATCCCACAGCTGTTTATGTTTTTAAACTCAATTTGCACAGAGAGGCTTTTTTTTTTAATGTATTGACAGCAATGTTGAATATTATTACACAGGAAAAAAACAACTACATGTAAAATAATCACACCTTGACGCCTCTGCCTTTCTAAATAGAGGGACAGTAACTGCGTGTTTATATGTAAGCGTGTAAAACGTGAAGATAGAGACAAAATACTGTTAATCTGCCATTGGCGCACAGCTGACGTGAAAAAAGGCACATACCTTTGACGTTGCAAGAACTCTGTATTCCTCGCCCACACGTAAACGCAAAAAATGAGTTTTAAAAAATCTCAGTTTTCGGTGATTCAAAACGCCGTTTACGTGTGGACGAAACAGCTGCGTTTTCAAAAATACCCGTGTAGGTGCAGACATAGCGTAAAAGAGTTAGTAGTTTATTTTCTTACTACCTGCAGATTACTTGTATTTTCTTAATTGTTTACTAAATGTTTGAGGTGTGAAATAAACCGCAATTGAGCAAAATATGGGTGTGTGTGGTTGGAGGATGTGTTTGTGCGTGCGGGGGGGGGGGAACGCAAATATTTTTCTGTAAAACAAAGGGGGGCCCAGCGAAAAAAGTTTGGGAGCCACTGATCTAAGCTACGTTTTCATGGTAAGACAAATGCACCAGGTGTCAGCACAAAAGTAATATTTCTTTTGGTTCATAGAACAGAGTGTACCTGTGGGCTCCTGGTGACGGCAATGATCGGACAGCGAGGGCGGTACCTGGACAGGAGATGAGCCGACCTGCAGAGAAGAAGTGCAAAGTTAAGGATGGAAAATAAATTATCAGTGATGGCACGCATGAACAACACTTTCATACTGAGGGAAAAACGAAAGCAGCATCACTGCTCCTTGGCAGAAATCATACAGGACTCTTTTCTTCCAAATATAATAATAATAACAACTCGCTTTTGTGATTAAAGCTGCTGTCTTCCATGATCCGTTATTAATCCCGCTTTCAAGGTCATTTAGACCGCTTCCTCTCAACATCTTAAAAGTAAAATCGGCACTTACTCAGCAGCTTAACACCCAGAGCACAGTAGGATATCAACTAAACAGATACCTCTCCATTTGTTAGTTTCTTCACTCATTTATAGAAGCTTTTGCTTTTAAGACTGTCTGCTGTCTATGAATGTGAGAATCTTATGTGCTTACACTTTTGAAATATATTACAGACATTACAGATAAACTATTTTCTAATCAGAATTAAATCTCACAGTTTTAATATCTGATATGTTATGGTTGTATGTTTACTTAGACATAATGGCTAAACTAATTGGAGATCATTCTAGTGTATTTTTATGCACATTTTGGTAACAGGAGGTACGTGTGTGTCCCCCTGTGTGCACATTTAATATATGTGAGACGGGAAATCTCACATATATTATATAAAGTACAAAATACACAAAAACAGTACAATGAAGCCCCATAAAACCCAGAAGATGCACAAGCAGCAAACATTACTGCAATATTCAGCCTGGACCTTTGGGATAAAAGAAGCTGCAAACTTTAAAGAGCCTGTGTTATATGTTTGTTTGGAGAAGGACAAATAAACTTGTTTCTAGCATCTACAAGGACGAATACAGAAATTATTAATCCAAGTTCCTCTTTTCCAATCCAAGGTCACCGGAGTGCCGGAGCCTATCTCCTACACCCTGGATAAATCTCCAGTCTGTTGCAGGCCTCACAAAAATTACAGACACATTCGCACCTGCATACATCACTAACACGTGTGCAAGCACAGGGAGGTCCAGGCTGGATTCAAACCCCTTTTTACTATGAGGCAACAGCGATACCCACAGCACCACCATGCCGACCAAACAATGATAATATATTTATGTTAATTATTTTCAAATGGTTTTCCAAGTGCCCACTCTGGGTCAGGGACGAGACCCTGCCCCAAGTGGATGAGTTTAAGTCTTGTTCATGAGTGATGGGAGAAGGGAGCGGGAGATCGACAGACGGATTGGTGCAGTGGCTGCAGTGATGCGGATGCTGTACCGGTCTGTTGTGGTGAAGAGAGAGCTGAGCGTAAAAGCGAAGCTCTCAATTTACCGGTCAATCTATGCCCCTACCCTCACCTATGGCCACGAGCTGTGGGTAGTGACCGAAAGAACAAGATCGCGGATACAAGCGGCAGAAATGAGCTTCCTCCGAAGGGTGGCTGGCCTCTCCCTTAGAGATAGGGTGTGAAGTTCGGCCATTCGGGAGGGGCTCAGAGTAGAGCAGCTGCTGCTCCACATCGAAAGGAGCCAGCTGAGGTGGTTCGGGCATCTGACAAGGATGCCCCCTGGGCGCCTCCTGGGTGAGGTGTTCCAGGCATGTCCCACCGGGAGGAGGCCCCGGGGCAGACCCAGGACACGCTGGAGAGATTATATCTCTCGGCTGGCCTGGGAACGCCTTGGTATTCCCCCGGATAAGCTGGAGGAGGTGGCTGGGGAGGTCTGGGCTTCTCTGCTTAGGCTGCTGCCCCCGCGACCCGGCCCCAGATAAGCGGAAGAAAATGGATGGATAGTTTTCCAAATCTAATCAGGCTTTTTAGTTACTTGTGCTAAATATGCTAGCTCTTAGCTTAGCGCTGCAACAGAACTGGAGAGAGTACAACATGGCAGCAAACTCCACCTACCAGCATCTTTCTATTAAACTAACAGGCCACAAAGTGAAGGCCAGCTATAGTCCCGGTAGATCAGCTGATCTCAGTGTCAGGCAACTTTCACACAGACCTCACACAGAGCATCTTATTTAAGTTCCCTAAACATGACCATAGCCTCTTTACATCTGCAAGCTACTTTGCAACCCTCCTCTACCACAGCTTCTCCTTCCATGCCATTTCTGACTTAATCAATGTAATATCTGTTGATGGTTCTTGCTGCTGCTCTTCTGAAACAAACGTAAGATTCTCTTGACTTTAGCGGTTCTGACTGATTTACTGTTTTTTTTGGTAGGAAACCCTCATCAAACAACAATAAAACTTTGTCTTATGCTATATCGTGACAGTCAGGTGAACTGTCACGATATAGCATATAGCACTGCTAGTTCTGACACATTTATCATGAATGTTAGCTGATATACTCACCTGCCAGTGGTCGTGAGGACTATAATCGCCCCGGCACAGCATTTGAATGAAGACTCCACTGCTCCGATCGCCGTGACCTCCGTGGGGTCAGAGGAGAGAGGAGTGAGGCGGCGCAACTCCTCAAAAAGCTGCTGGTGGAAAATGGCTGCTTCTGCCTCCCTACAGATCTGAGATAGAGCGACAGAGACAGGGAGAGGGACAGAGAGAGGGTTAGAGCATTATCAGAGGGCACTAAGTCAGACGCAACCGAACGACACCATGTGCACACAGAAACACACACCGAATGCATCATTGCAACTGACTCCACAGGAAACAGTCCCTTGGCGGTTTCTCCAGATAGCATTACACAGTCAGCTCCATCCAGCACAGCATTGGCAACGTCACTGCCCTCTGCTCTAGTTGGCCGTCGGTGGGTCACCATGCTCTCAAGCATCTGCAAATGCACAAAAACACACAAAGACACACATACAATACATTTCAGCTATAACCAAAACGTCTCTATAAGGTACTATAAATGGATTTCACCAATGAGTCCATCAAAAATAAGCCACTCGGAGTCTTTGTATGTCAATTTTTGTTCATTTTGACAAAGTGATATGGGCGAGCACGAAGACAGGAGGTAATGGCTTTGTGGATGGATAGATGGTAGAGTAGGAGTAATAAGAGATCGTTTAGACTGAGGCAGACGAGTGCGAGTTAGAGAAATCGTTATTGGTATGCTGGAGACTCAGTGTTATGAGTCAATAAGCGAGGCAGACAGTTGGAAAATGAGATAGCTTGCAGCATAGCCTGTGAGACTGCATTTTTAGTTAAGAAGCTTCGACTAATGCTGATTAGTGCATGTGTGTGGGTGTTGTTTGTGGGCTCAGGTCTCGAGTAGCAAACCTGCTATAACGCTGTCACTCCGAGTCAAGAGCTGTAGCATAAACAAAGTACAGCACTGTGACTCAACATGGCTGCGGGAGTGTTGCACGCATGTGTGTGTGTGTGCATGTGTGTAAAAGCAGAGGGGTGTGAAAGAGAGGGAATGTGTGCATCTCTGAAAATGAATTCACTGGACAAGTGACATTATGCACGAGTGTAAGGTTAATGTGTAGTTGGACCCGTTTGACATTCGGCTGGCTGAAACCGCAGTTAAAAGTCTTAATCTCAATATTTCTTCTTTTTCTGTGATTTTTTTTCTCTCTCTGTGTGTGTGTGTGTGTGTGTGTGTGTGTGTGTGTGTGTGTGTGTGTGTGTGTGTGTGTGTGTGTTCATCTCTGACCTGTGTGGCACAGATGACAGGCTTCCCAGCAGAGTTGCATCTCCCAATCATCATCTTCTGGGCAATGAAGACTTTCTCCGCAGGGATCTCGATCCCCAGGTCGCCTCTGGCAACCATCACGCCATCGCTCTCAGCCAGGATTTCCTCAAAACTGACAGACAGATTAGAGGAAGGAGTGAGTGTTTGGGCTCAAGAAGAGAGAGTTGGAAAAAGAGCACAAAAGGAGGAATAGGGAAGATTCTACGTGTTATCTAAAAACTAGGTCTTCCAATTCAGATTTTTTTTTGTCACGCTGCTTTTAGATCTTCAAAAGATATCGAGGATAGTGTAAAATTTTGATTTAAATCCTAAATGATCTGGATGAAATCCAAACTCCTATATGAGCAAGGAACAAAGAGACTGAAAGGAAAAGCAGGAAGCTGTGATGCTGATGTAGATTTAAAAGGGAAAAACACAGCTGCAGGACATCCAAACAGGACGTTTAACACCAAATATTCACAAACAGCTTAATTACTGTTAAGAATTCATCTTTATTATCTAATGTCTTTCTATTAAAACTGCAGTTAAACACTGTCAGCAGCCGGGGAGCAGCAGGACAAAGCATGAGATAAGTAATGGAGGTAAGAAGGCAGGGAAATAAATTATGTCAGGTATATTAATTGGCTGCAATAACTCACATGGACAGCCACAGAGACCGCTTATCATAGATGTGTAAAATCTAAAGTTGACATATGTTTCTCCTTCACTGACAGCTGGCTGTCCACAGGAGCGACAGATCACATCAGCGGTGGATTTAAAAGACCTGTCAAAGTCTCGTTGTGGAAGACTCATGCCGTCAGTGCCTGTTTGGCTAAAAATAACTCTGCAGAAATGGCATTAATTGGAAATTGGATTTTTCCAGGACTCACTTTTGAACTCCTTGCCGGCTTTCCACCTTGCTGATCACTTTAATATCTCGACCATGCGCCCCAAGAGCGCGACGCACATCCTTGACATCCTGGGCTGAACGGATGAAGCTGGCGAACACCATATCAACACCCTGAGCCACGCCGAACCTCAGGTCAGCCTCGTCCCGCGGGCTGACCGACTGCATGCCGATTAGGTCGCAGCCGGGAAGGTTTACGCCTTTACGACTGCAGAGCATCCCGCCTGATTCCACCACCGTGTCCACCCAGTCCGAACCTGACAAGAAAAATGTTGGAGATGCAGGGACTCACAAAGGAGTGGTGCATTGATACTATAAAAACATTCAGTAATACAACCAAAAATCAGAGCATGGGAAATTGCACAATTGTTGGATAATAAGGAAAATACATTAGAAGTAATATATAATAATGGAACTCAAGAATCCATAGAAAGATTTAAAGTTATACGTGCATGCAGGGATGAAGGTTTATAGGCCTGTGGACATGTTTGTATCAGTACACTGGCCTGAAAAGTTGCATTCAGTGCATGAGATATATGAGAATGAGCTATAGAAGAATGCACATAAAACTGAAAAACCACCTCGCAGATAGAAAATGACAAATGTTCACATAATTGAAGACAAAGAAAGCCTTTGGACCGTGGGAGGATAAAGGAGCCTGAGGTGAAAATCCAAACAGGCCCAGGAAGAGCAGAGGGAGATAAACACACAAGACTGTGTTGATACTGTTTTGTTGACCTTTATTTTGGTAAAATTTGATTTGGATCCAAATTTATAGTTGATGGTGGAGAAAAATTGTGGGCTGTGAGTAGGGGGATCAGATCCCAAAAAAGGTAGTCAAATATATTATAACGTATTATTTACACAATATCTGAATGGAACTTTTCCATCTCTCTTGCTAAATAAATATTTGAGCTGCTCTTCTGTCTTGTCCTTGGCAACAGCAGGGACGGATCCATAAATTGGCAAATTTTTCTGACAACTTTTATATTTTTATCAAATTACGACCACACATACTGTGTCCCTTCACACCATAGTTTCTCTTGCGCATTTAAAAAAAAACCAGACAAGGTTTTGAAGGAATTTATGGTGAGCAAATAATCACCAATTCAGAATCTGAACTCCTTCTCTGTTTCTTAGTTGAATAATAGCTTGTAATGCATATCTGAATGATTTTAGGGTGTCACATAGATGGTCTTTCACCTTTTGAATATAAAATAAGATCATCATTTTATTCTAATTACACATTTGCATGAAATTCATTATCAGCGTACGAATTCTGGCTTTATGTCCAAGCGTGTCCTCAAGCGTCCCAGGGACTGTTGCCAAATTTAAAGAAATAAATGTGTTCGAGTGACAGAGAGACAAATTGAAAACACAGTGCCTCTGGACACAGCTGTCACTGCAGATGTTTCTACAACGGCAATAAGACAGACATGTTTTATGTAGGTTTGCTAAAGTCTGTGTAATGCACATTACCTATATCTAATACTCGGAGTCCAATGAGGCCATCATCAATGTAGATCTTTCCATCCTTCTTGAGAACTTTGGGCAGGTTGGAATAGTCCACCCAGATTATCTTTCCATCTGTCTTGTCTTTGTCACTCTCTGCTGTCACCACGCGCACATTGTTGCCCTTCACCAGCTCCACCTCTTCTTCCACTTTCTGTCGAAACAGATACGAAACACAAAAACCTCCAATTACTGCTCTTGTTGTAAGCAAACATACAGTAGTATTGTCATTTCCAGCAACTGAATTTTCTTAGACACAAGATCTCTGAGTGCTGCTGCAGAAAAACAAAAAAACTGACTGCGTTTGAACCGTGACGAAATCCGTGACTGGTTGATTAAAAGGCGTGCTGTGTTACAAAACGCCGGTGTGTTTTGTAGTGTTTATAATGAGTAGTTCTAGTACCTTATCTGAGAGGGTTTGAGTGGCAGCAATGATGAAAACACAAGAGACTTTGTACTGTACAGGCATGAAACTTTAAAAGGAACACACTGGCTGCTTTGTGCAAAGCGTTTGGTATTTACTGATGACGTAACAATTATATTTCCAAATATTTGAGAAGGCAGCACACTTGATGTAAGACAACGACGGACAGAATTAGAAATGAGTACATCGGAGGGACAGCTCAGATCGAGCAGTTTGGAGACAAAGTTAGAGAGACAAGTCTGAGATATTTTGGAAAATTGCAGAGGAAGGATAGTAGAAATACTGGGTGAAGGATTTTGAATATCTTGTGCTCAGGAAGGTGAAAACAGGAAGAACACATAAAAGGTTCATGGATGTAGAGAAGGAGGACGTGCAGGTGGCCGATATGACAGAGGAGGACAGATACGGTGAGATGGATGCAGATGGGAGTAGGGAGTAGCCAAAAGAAGATGTTATGTCAAAAAGACAAGAATGGGATTCAAACATAGCATAAGTTTAAAAATTAACAGAATAATCCAAAAATATTTTGCACATTTCTACAAAAAACAAGCAGTCAAAAGTATACGTCTCAATGAATAATTCCTAACATGTGTTGAATGTTTTAACATGTTGTTGATGTCCACGCCTGCTATAAATGGCCAAATATAGCATCCACCATCTTCTTAACCACTTATCCAGGTAGGGTTGCAGGAGCACTGAAGGATATCCCAGCTAACATACAACGTGGGTAGTCATTATTATATATAATAATGATTGACTGATTTATTGGTTGATTGATTGGTTGCCATTACATATATTCACCTACATATATAATTTTGTATGCTGTAAATATCTTGTCTGTTAAAAATATAAATGTTTAGTAAAAATAGAGTTATAATTAGCATGTGTTTAGTAACTCAAGTGCACCTTTCAATTAGTCTACCCAGACTCAGATCAAATGCCATACAGAGTATTTCTGAAGCTAATCAACACACAAGGAGGTTTCCTGCAGCCTGGAGTTATTTGTTCAGCAAAGCAGACAGCAGGCAACAGCAACACGACCAACAACACAATAAGATGATGATGAAAAGGCAGATGAGCACACGCCTACAGCTGTTGTTTTTCCAGGAAAAGTAGCAACCTGTAACAAATGATGTGCTGCACCAAGGAATGGGCTTATTTTCTGCACCTCTTACACCTGACTGCATGTGACTGTTTGATTAGGTTTAGACTGTTTGATAGATGAAGCAAAGCATGCTCACCCCTTTAACTAATCCGGTGCGGATCTCTGGGCCCTTCGTATCCAAAGCGATGGCAACCGGTCGATAGTACAACGGGTCAGAGGTTATCGTCTCCACCGCCTCTCTGATGTTCTTGATGGTTTCACAGTGATACTGAAAGACACAGACAGGGAATCAATACCTGGCTGAGTGGAAAACCGAGGCGTGTGAACACAAATGCGCCACAACATTAAAACCAATAGCCAGTGAAATGATTCACATGGATCATCATCTGTTATCTGTGATGGGTGCTGGCATTTATGTGGCTGTTACTTCATCACAAGCCATGGATGTACCCACTCCCATCCACACATCCCAACTGCACAGGAGCAGCTCAGGGAACACAAGAAACAAAGACTGCAAGGTCTTCCAACTCCCCAGATTACAGTCTGATAGATGCTAAAGCAGCAAGTTGAGGTTAGTATCTTGCTGTAGGATATTCGGCATGTAGCCAGGGATCAAACCACCAACCTTCTAATTAGTAGATCTGTTCTACCTCCTGACCCACAGCCACTCCACAGTGGGTGGCAGATACCACAAAACACCTCCAGATGTTCTTTCTTTACGCCCCTGATTGGTCAAAGGTGTTTTGGTGTCGTGAATAAACAGGCAACATTAACCAGGCGGTTTTAATGTTGTGGCTGATCAGCATGTGTGCCGTACGTACTTCATGTGATCCATGAGAGAAGTTAAGACGAGCGATATTCATTCCAGCCTTGACCATCTCCTGAAGTTTGGGGATCGATCGAGATGCCGGACCTGAAAGGAAAAAAGAGAGTGAATAAAAGAAAAGCAGTTTCAATAATCAAATGTTCATTCATTCGATGTAGGCTCCAAAAACAGAATTTTATTTGTTTTCCATAAAAGGATCTTTAGGTTTTAAACAGCCACAATAAAATTACATTTTGGCTATTTTTTGTGTATTTCCTGATATTTTATTAATAGCCTTATTCATGGTATAATTTGTTAATGATAGAAATTTTTGTTAGCTACAGGCAGACATTAAAATGAACTGTTTGCTTGCCTGTTACTTTATCCCTTTAATGAAAACCCTTCAGGGAGTGATAAACAAACCCATGTCCTCGCGAGGAATCAAAACATCATCTGGAAAGCCAGAGCCAGAGCCAGATGACTTAGGAGCCGTTTGTATAGTGTATTTCCTTCTAATTGTTTTTCATCTTTTTCTGGACAGCAAAAGCTTCAAACTGCATCAGCCAAAAAGCCTTGCCAACAAGCTAAAGACCACCCACCCCCTCCAGACGCTGGCTTTCTGACACGGAGCCAACGATGACACATAACAGTTGTCAGACAACAAACTTGAAACTGAGACTCACTGTCTGTCACACTCACCGATGGTGCAGATTATGCTGGTGTTGCGCGCTGTGATTGGCTCCTGGTTGATGTCCAGGAGACAGAGATGCTCCAGGAAGGTGTCAGCCATACTGGCGTCAAGCTGCTGGCGTTGGATGAAAGAGTCCGGCAGTGTCATCACATCGGAGTAGCGCCTGATGCGAGCTATAATGACAGAGAAACGCTGTCAGTGGGATGAAGTTGAGTCATGAAGCTCTACTGCCAACTGCACCTGTGAAAACCAAATGAACCGAACACTTCCGACCGAACGAAGCGCACAATTTCAGTTTTAATAGCAAAAAGGAACAACACAGAATATGCTAACATTAAGAGATAAAACACAACACACACAGACCTGACATTAACTGCCACCAGCAGGGGTCACAAAGGTTTAGATGCTGGTATTCAGCCGACTTATGAGTCACTACTGCGAAAACTATACACAGCTGCTCTGCTGATACGCTATACTTTACAAGCAGTAAAGTGGCATTTGAAAACAGAGATGACGACTGATAATATGGAGGCAATATAAAGGTTTTTATGCTGACATTTGAAGCTGGAAGCAACCGTTTAATTTAAGGCTGGTTGTTTTTCATGGACCAGAAAGGAACACACACACACACACACACACACACACACACACACACACACACACACACACACACACACACACACACACACACACACACACAC